GTATATATAATAGTATGAATTGAACGCAAAGTGTCCCAGCTGGAATGTGAACTCGGGCTATTGATTCCATTTTCTGCATTAATAACCATTGTACCACTGGCCAACTATTAGAGGCAACATGTGGACTTGTGTCAGAATGAGCCAAAACTTAATATAAATAAAATAAAACTATGTAGTACGAATTTTTTAGTAAACAAAGTTGATTAATAAACTTCGTTAATTGATTAAGATTTCAGTATTTATATTTGAAACAATGACTGGAATTGTCCCACATTGTTTATTCATCAGAAATAAATACTAAAATACTAAATAAATAATAGATAATTAGTATAATAATAAATATAAATAATAATAATTAAATATATTATAATTAAATACATTAAATTAATTTTAATCTTAATTATTTTTAATCAATTTGTTTAATTAAATGTAATATTATGTGATTTTTTATTTTGAATTTTAATTTTAATTTTTAATTTAATTTTCATTTTTTAATAATTTTTAATTTAATTTAAAAAAATTTTAATTTATTTTTTATAAAAATTTTAACTTTAATTAAATTAATATTAATTAAATTAAATATATTATAATAATAAGATAATAATCAATATAAATAATGATAAATACTAAAATCATGAATAACAAAAGAAACTATGAAACTTTAACAATAAACAACGTTGATAAATAAACACCAAAGATGAACTGTAGGCAAGGATTATGGCAGCATTCACCAACTTAAAGAAGGAGACCGTGCAGGAGATTGCGAAGTTGTCTGAAGGTTGTTGTTGAAGCAATTGGCGATTTTATTGAATAAATTTACTCTTTACTATTTCAAGATATTTTTGTATAATTTTGGTAAATATACCTGATAAAATGAGATGTCAGTGTTGTTTTCATTTTTGCGAAATTTAGACGACAATTTATCAATCGTACCCTGTATATAACTTCAGAACAGCATACGGATGTCTATTGAACGGTAACTGACTAAAACATAATGTAATATACGAAGCATTTGTACTCCGCTGAAAACCACCAATTACTACTTTTATGAAACACCAAGTGGAAAATTATTAATAATGAATAAACACCAATGAGGTATTATTTTCATGTAATGAGTATGATGTGATATGATTGTAGTCGTGATTTCCTATCATACCTATTATATAAGGAAAGGAAAAAATATTGGTTAATAAAGAGTTCAAAATACGAACAACTCTTATAAACATGGAAGCTGAAGATGTTAGCTGTGACAAAGATACGGTGTTTTAATTAAAAAATATATCTATAAAAGTAGTAATAAATATAATAACTAGGACAGCATTTTGATGTTTTCAGATAATGCTGAAAAGTATAATATTCTTAATGATTTCTCTTTTTTTCTCTCTCTTTGTGAAGCCATCCCGAGTAAAATATTACAAAACTGGTTTTTATGTTCCATGTTTCAAACAAAAACGAAGGTTAATCAGTAATTCTTTAGCCTAGCGCAGTTATTAGCTTAATTTTTATCTCAATTTTTCAGTGTATAACGTTCGATTGACATAATTATTAAAGAAGCGTTGAGTTTAATGAATTAACAAAGAAGAAAATTATGCGGAAAAAATGTGTAAAATAAATGTTTTTCTTTTTACTTTTTTTTTTTTTTTCAACATGAGGCTACGGAATAATTGATGTACTGACGTAATGTTTTCTGTGCATTAGCAGGTATTTTTTTAAAGTGAATTATGGTGCAAAATGTCGAGTCAGAGCAGTTTTCTTTTGATTCTTTCGCAGAAAAAATATTCTATTGTAAGTTCTGTGCAGTCATCTACGTTAAAAAAAATCTGATATAAGTTATTTTTAATAAAGCAATTGGTTCATTGTTACACATAAAAGAAAAACTGTAAAAATGTTTCTACTCTCAACATTTCCCTCTTACCTTCTCGTAGTCATTTCTCCCTTCCATAATTTTTTACCTTTGTTCATTTTATCTTTCTTTTCTTATCTTTTTTATCAGCTTTTCTTTCTGTTATTTGTCTCTATTTTAGCATGTGTTTCACTTTCTTCGCGTTTCTTTTTCGTTTTCTTTCTTTTCTATATTTTTCTTTCTTACTTTTCTATATTTTTCTTTCTTACTTTTCTATATTTTTCTTTCTTACTTTTCTATATTTTTCGTTTTCTTTTCTTTATTTTTTTTTTCTTTTTTTTATATTTTTCGTTTTCTTTTTTTCTATATTTTTTCTTTCTTTTTTTCTATTTTTCGTTTTCTTTCTTTTCTATATTTTTCGTTTTTTCTTTTCTTTTCTATATTTTCGTTTTCTTTCTTTTCTATATTTTTCTTTCTTACTTTTCTATATTTTTCTTTCTTACTTTTCTATATTTTTCGTTTTCTTTCTTTTCTATATTTTTCGTTTTCTTTCTTTTCTATATTTTTCTTTCTTTCTTTTCTATATTTTTCGTTTTCTTCCTTTTCTATATTTTTCTTTCTTTCTTTTCTATATTTTTCGTTTTCTTCCTTTTCTATATTTTTCTTTCTTTCTTTTCTATATTTTTCGTTTTCTTTCTTTTTTATATTTTTCGTTTTCTTTCTTTTTTTATATTTTTCGTTTTCTTTCTTTTTTATATTTTTCGTTTTCTTTCTTTTCTATATTTTTCTTTCTTCATGCCGCTCTGCCTTTCACTTTCTTTATCTATCTCCCTTCTGATGCCCTTTTTTTTCTTCTCTCTGTGTGTCGTTCTCTTTTCACTCTACTTTTTTCTTCTTTTCTATCACGTGCACCTCTCGCTTTCTTTTCACCGTGTCTTTCTTCTCTTTCTGACTTCGTCATTCTCCTTTACAATATCTGTCTTCTCTGTCTTCTTCTTTCACCGTACCTCTCTCTCTCTCTTTCTCTCTATCTCTCTCTCTCACTCTCCCTCCCTTTCTTTGCTTCCTTCTTTTTGATCGTTTTTCTCCTCTTCTCTCTATTTCTCTTTGTCTTTTACCATGTTATTCCCCCACCCCTCTCTCACTCTCTTTATATTTATATTTTACTGTCAGTTTTCCCTTTTTATTTTCTCCCTTCCGTCTTTATGTCAGATTCTATCTCTGTTATACGCTTTGTCTCTTATTCTTTTTCTATCACCTCCCGCTTGAATGTCTTACTCCTTTTTATCTCTTTTCCCGTATTCCAACCTGTATTCTTTCTCCCTCTCTTTTCTCTTCTCTCTCTAATCATCTTATTCTTATTCTTTATCTTTCTCCAACCTTTCTCTCTCTCTTTTCATCTCTTTATTTCATTCGTCTTGTACGCGCGAACACTTGTGCGTGCGTCTTACTTTACTATCTCCTTTTCAACTCTTTTACAATCATAGAAAAGATATTCGTCACTTGAATGGTCTGATCGTCCAAGAGAAATTCTATTACACATCGACAATCGTGCCAATGATAAGTAAATTTACCTTTCGTCTGAGAACGACAGCAAATAAACTTTGGTCCACCAGCACCGAGTTTGATAGGAAGAACACTAAAGAAATTCTTACCAAGAACGTTCACTTTTTGGCAAAGAGCCCGGGTTGATCGTAAATTCATAATTCCTGAAAAGAAAGCCAGGCTTCCACTTCAAAAGTCTCAGCAGTAGAACTGTCCAAAGATACTGGCATCAAAATATAACATTTTTGCGTATTTCTCTAAATAAAATCAATATCAGTCAACAGAAGATTAAGAGGATTCGAAAATGTCTGCTTTTCTGGTCTCTGTTCGAAGTAGAAAAATCCTTCATTTAATTTTACTCTACCCACTGTATAAAATACTAATAACCAAGAGAAAAATACACCTTAAGCTGTCTTTCCTCAATTCTTCGTCTTCTATGTGTCCAGTCCCTTCAGGATATACAGCGATCATGGCTCTCCACAATTTCCAATCCTTTGTAGCTCTTAATAACTTTTGTCTTTTTGAAATCTCTCTCTCAAACCCTGCTCCGTCGTCCATTCGCTGAAGAGCGCCAGGTAGTTTTGCGTTGCTTTCTTCTGGCCCTCTTGCTTTCAATCTTTTCTATGAGTGTCAAATTTCCCAAGCCCTCTTTCCTCATTATATGCCCCAGAAATGTTAACTATCTCTTCCCTCTGTTTTTTCTACAAATACTTTCACGGTAACTGCTCCGACGAGCTACTTTCGCTAGTTCCCAAACTGCATGAATTTAAACGTGCTACTAGGTTGGCATCTCAATCCCACCCTTTCATTGTCAAAACGGTTAAATGTAACCGTCTCTTCTACACCAATGGCTTCATGTCTCGCAATTCCTGTCTGAGGAACTCCTTTTTTCTTACTTGCTTTTCTGATAGCTATAATCTCCAACTATTCAAATGCATTGTCAATTGTCACATCCAGATGCCTTGATCCTTCTCTTCATCCTTTCCTCTTTCATGCCTTTTTACTCTTGCCCTCACTCTCTGTAACCCCTTGCATGCTAGTGGTACGCCCACCTTGCTTGGGGTGAAAATCTTTTTTTTTTTTAAGTATAATTGTCCTTTTTTGGCCATTGTCTCTAGAACATTTTCGTTGCTCACATGTTCGGTCGGTGGTATTCTCTGTATCCTGTCGTAGAACCACATTTTCTGTTGCTTCAAGTCTTTTCTTCATCTGTAAGGAGATTCACTGCCATATAGGAGGGCTGATACTATATAACAGTTCAATAGTCTTTTCTTCGTTTCTAACGATATTTTTATTTCTTAATACTTTGTTCAGTTTTTGAAAGGCATTTTTCGCTATCTCAATCTAACTTCGAATTTCCGAATCGGACTTTCCGTCCTCTGTTAATGCACTTCCCAGATATCTAAATTATTACACTTGTTTGATTTCGCTATCACCAATCAATAATTTGCATGTTGATTCCTTTTGTTGATAATGAAGGGACATTATTTTAATAATTTGGAAATGTGTTTCCTAATATGATTTTTTCTCAGTTTTCAACTTCATTGACGATAAACATCATAAAATGATTTTACATAAGCTTATATTTTTTAAATTTGTAATTTCATGTGTTTTAGATAGATAGATAGATAGATAGATAGATAGAACCTTGTCAGTCGTTTTCAATGAAACTTGCATATATATATATATGTGTGTGTGTATATATATATATATATATATATATATATATATATATATATACTTTGTACTACTCAATTTGTGGATATTATTAATTGTTGATACACACTGAAGAGTGGACGAACAGGTCTGCCTACGAAACTCTGGAACCAAGGTAATATCAATCAGCTAAGTGACAAACTTTTACTTATATTAATCCTATAGATAGATAGATAGATAGATAGATAGATAGATAGATAGATAGATAGATGTTTGAATATTGCTGCCACACTGGTGCTTTTCTGTATGTTTAGAGATCCTTGAAATAGTTCAAAGAAGAATCTGAAATGTTATTTGTCTTGAACTGGCATCTCACATTCATGGTAATTGTTCTGATGAACTTTCCTCGATGGTACCTAGACTTTTAAGCGCAGTACTACATTGGTAGCAAGGTCTCATTATTTTACAGTTGAAATGGTGAGATGTAGCAATAGGTTCTACACTAACAGTTTCTTTTCTCAAACTTCTCGCTTGTGGAACTCTCTTCTTGCTTCCCAGTCAATTTTCATCTTCAAAAATTTAAATGAAATGTCAATCGTTATCTTCTGTCTTCATAATTCCTCTACTTTTTTCCCCTCTCCTTAATAGTGTTTTTCCCCTTATAGTCTCTTACAGTCATTAATCCTTTGCATTTTAGTGGCTTTATTCCCTTGCTTGAGGTGAAATGATTAAAAAAGATAGATAGATAGATAGATAGATAGATAACGTTATGATTTATAAATATTTAAAATTTGCTGTTCATTTCCTGCTTGAAAATTAGGATCAATATAAATCTTCCGAAGTCTAAATTTACGTCTCATCGAAGGATGTTCTCATAAGCCTTAGCAACAATCAATTCTGGTGATTTTTTAAATAACTTTATTCTGAAATATTTCCAAATTTTCTTACGTCATTTATATCTAAAATATTTTTGGTGGTAGGTCATAGAATAACATTTATAATACTTTCTTTATTTTGATTGGATAACACGATAAAAATAAGAAAAAATCAAATCTGAAAACCCCATCAATCTTTTTTGATAAGGACACTTAAGTTGGGCTTTCTTACAAGTTTATTAACGGCAAGAAGAGGAGGAGGAGGAGGAAGAAGAAGACGATCAAAACAGAGAACATTTTCATTAATCTTTAATAGGATAATACGTCAGCCAAAAAGAATGAAACATTTCTAAGATTTGATATTTATAATATCTTTGGAATAAAAATATCATATTATATTTGGAAGGAAACTACAAGAGATGAAAAACAGTATGAAAAAAGGAATTATTGAAAATAGTTATTTGGCATTACATGGAATAGAAATTACGTTTTTATTAATAATGTATTGAGTAATTTTATTAGATAAAAATTATCGAAACCGATAAGTTTCATTTCTTGATACGAGGTTGGCCGAAAAGTTCATAAGTTGACTATGGAGGAACGGCGCTAGATCTGTGAAATCGTGCATGTCTTAATTTCAAGTCTTCTTATTAATAATTGTATTGTTTCCCTCAAGGTAAACTGACACCTGTCTGCTCAAAGACTTCTCTTGAAACTGGACAACATTTGGCATCGGGGTGTTATCAAGTACCTATAGAAAAGTGTTTACCCCCCCACGGACATTCATGCTGACATGGTTTCTACATTAGAGGATAATACTCCGGCTTTAACAACAATGCAAAAGTGGGCAGCTGAATTTTGGAGGGTAAGGGGGAGTCTTAAAGATGACCCAAGAACTGGACAATATGCAACTGTCACCATCGAGGAAATCATTGAATGTGTTTACCACATGCTGATCAATAACAGACTACTGGCTATAAATCGAAAAGCCAATAATATTAGCATATCCTGTGAGAGAGTTGAGAATATTAATGGATTTGAACTATGTATTTATTGATTCATTGTTATCATTTATCTGCTGTATCTCTTCATGATGCAAGTGATTATGGCTCTCTACAACTTCCAATTCCTTGGCATTTTACCCTTCCCCTTTGTCCATACCCTACTCTGCTATTGATTCATAAAAAATCCATTATATTGCTCGTTGTTTCCCTGTACTCCCGCTTCTCTCAGTACGTCTTGTAGGTGTTGCTTTCTAGTTTCTAGTTTCTTTAGAACTTCTCGTTTCCCATATGTTCTGTCTATGATATTCTCAACACTCATCTGTAGAACCCCATTCTCGGCCGCTTCGAATCTCCTCTTCATCTGTCCAGCATTTACAGATATAATAGGAAGATAGATATGACATAGTAGTTCAGCAAACGTTTCTTTATTTCTAACGAAATATTGCGATGTGCTAATACATTGCTTACTTTCTGGAAGGCATCATTCGTTATTCAAACACTCCTTTTGATTGATGATTCACATTCTTAGCTAAATGTCTGCTTGATTCTAATGTCACTAATTCGAACATCACACCTTTGATTTCGTCCCTTGCTGACGACCATACATACTGTTTTCTTACTCTTGATGACCAATCCATTTCTTCTCGCTTTCCTTTTTTAGGGGTTTTGTAGTTCTGAACCTGCTTCTTACTCTTCTCTTCCTCTATGTGATCTGTCTCTTCAGGATGTTGGTGATCATAGCTCTCTACAATTTACTGTCCTTTGTAGCTCTTAATAAATTTTGTCTTTTTGTTATCTCTTCTAAACCTTTTTCCGCCATCCATTTACTCAATTTTGCAAGGTAGGTTACGCGTTGTTCCTCTTGTCTATCCTGTGACTATCAAAATTTCCAAGCCCTTTTCTCTCATTATCTGCCTTAGAAAGTTCAAATGTCTTTTCTTGGTGTTGAGTTGAACCCAAAAATTAAAAACCAACACCATTATGAACTCTTGAACCCCAATCCACTTTTTGGTAAATTTCGCAAAATATTTCAAGTTCACAAAATGTTTCCTTTTTGAAAATCTTGATTGTTTTAATAAATTTCTATTATATCTATACGAACAAGCATGACACCAAACGATGTTTTGTGATCGTTTATAATTTAATATTCGTCATAGTTTATTATCTTTGGACATTGCTCGTTATATATATATATAAACATAACGTATTTTTTTAAAAACTTTACATTTTCCTGTATCTGAAAACGTCATAGAAATATGGTCATCACTTTCGTCCCTGGCTCAAAAATTTGCAATTAGATATCTACATTTTACAGTTAAACAGAAAAATAAAGATTCAGAAGTCTTAACCAGAAAACAAGGATCCAGTTTAGCATTATCTTTACGCTATACATAACAGGCTTCACTAAAAACTTAAAAAGCTTTGGAATTTTCAAAAACTAATTTTAAACCATTTTCCAGAATTGAGTGGTCTTTGAGTTTTATGACGACATACAGGCAGACAAAAAACAAGAATTGTTGTGGATTCCGGGCTGAAATCCGGTACCAATAAATAGCAAACGCAAGGAATGAATATATGAAAATAATGTATAAACGTAATAATACAAACTGGTAATGCAGGTTAGTAGTTCCAGGAATACGGGTTAGTAGCAAAATATATATAGTCTTTGGAATTGAAGTATCGCTGTATGACTTCTTACTGAGTCTACGTGCTCGCTCACTGTGACTTCTACAACGCTGTTACCTCACTCTCACTCTTCCGGTTACCTACAACCTTTTACTCTGTCACTCTGGACTCGACTCTGTCGGGTCTTCACGTAGCCGTAGTATATGTATATACTGGTTGAGTCTATTTGTGTAAAAAGGGGAGAACCCCTCACCAGGAATGATACGGTGAATTATGGTACAAGTTCTTTCTATAATTTGTCTTTTAACAACCTCTTGTAAAAAAGGCATTTTCTGTAAAGAATCTTTGTACTACTGCTTATAATGATTCTAAGCTTTCTCCACTCTTCGAAAATACTCGTTGAGTTATTGTTAATGAATTAGCTGGGGACCAAGTGTCTCCAGAAAGCAATGTCTATGGATTCCTTCTAGTACAGCTGGGGAAAATGCCGTGGATGAAAATACATGTTGTGTAACGGCGCCTGTGATTCGCTTTATATCGCCACTGGAAGAAGAAACACACAATGGATCGAAAAATATTTCAAGTTTATTGTAAACCAAGAGAATTCGACCCTTTATTTTTAAATACAAAATGAAAACTGAGATAGACAGCAAAAAGGAACATGCAATGACAAACTCAGAATAAGATCGATATGGCTCTGTTGTTATCCGTCTCCTCTGTATGAGCTGGGCTGCTCAAATAAATAGTGTTCCCTTTTCTTTATCCTGTCAGACTTAATTTAGTATCCCATTGACCGGTTTTACTTTGGCCTCGCAAGGAGACAACCTCCAGGATTATCTTTCGACACGACGCAATCTCTTATAACATATTCTAATGGTACAAACTATCTTATCATCTGTTAATGATTTAGATCTACTTACATTTCACACTTTCACTACCCCCCCCAAAAAAAAACTTATTGTTACCCGTTGATCCATTAATAATTCTGCTGTAATGGAACAATCTTGTTTATATTATTTGAAGGTAAATTTTCCACAAGGTTGAAAATATTTTCCCAAACTCATTTTTAACCATCCCCCCCATTTAAAGGAATAAGGCCAATAAGACACAAATGGTTACTGAGTGTGAAATAATAAGAAAAAAGGGAAACATTAATACGTTGGCCTCCATACGACCCACCGGAGGGTCGTGGTGGTATGTCTGCAAGGCCCAATTTCTTTTCTATGAGGATTATTGGGAGTGGGATTCTATAATTGATTGCTTATAAGATTATGGTACATCAGAACTACATTTTTTTCAAAGGATAATTAATCATTTTTTTTCTCTTTTTCTTTCATTTCGTTTTCCTTTTGGAATTTCTACTGGCGTTTTTTTTTTTTGGGGAGGGTCATTTTTTTATGTTTACTTACACATAACTGTACCATGCATTTTTGTGGGCAGTGTGGGATTGTAAGGTTTAAAATGAACTCAGATACCGGACGAAACCCCAGTTGTTCGTGGGTAATAAATACTACCTATGATATCCTTGCTTCATATATGAAACAATGTCAAAACATTGCGAGAAGTGCGAAAAAAGAAACTGTTAGCATAAAAACTCACGGCTATATCTAGCCAGTTCAATTGTGAATTTATGAGACCTTACTGCCAATCGAGTATTGCGTTTAAATTATAAAGTCCAGGAAAGCTCATCATATCAATTACCATGAAAGTATTTACAGAAAAGGCACTGGGAAGATACATTACGGCATTGAGAAAGAAACTAAATCGGATAAGCCAGGTCAAAACCAATAATATTGC